AGCGTCTATACAATGGATGAGCTGGCTAAAGCAAATGATCTGATGGACTTCTCTGTTGCAGGTGATAGTATATTAGATACTGTTACAGCAGACAGTAGTGCTGATCGGCTTGTAATAATTACACAGATGACCACACAATATTTCAAGCACATATGTGTGAAAAAGGCAACAGGCCCTGATGGCATCTCTGCCTCTCTTTTAAAAAATTGTGCGGTGGAATTAACAACAGCATAGTGCCCTATCTTTAAGACGTCTGCTGACTCTCACTCTGTTCCAGTGCTGTGGAAAAAAGCAATAATTGTGCCAATACCCAAAAAGCCCTGTCCCTCAGATAACAATGACTACAGGCCGGTAGCACTGATATTCTGTTGTGATGAATTGCTTTGAGAGGATTATGGTATCCACACTGTGCTCAGAGGTGAACACTGTACTGGATCCATATCAGTTTGCATATAAACACCGGCGGGGCACCGATGATGCAATCAACAGCATTATGCATCTGGTTCTTAAACACCTAGAGGACCCAGCGCCCATGCGCAGATGCTGTTTGTGGACTTCAGCTCTGCATTTAATATGCTGCATCCCCATCTAGTGATAAGCAAGTTGAAGCAAATATCTATTAACAATTACATGATAAGATGGTACCATTCATTTTTAACAAACCGTATGTATGGTTTAACAAAACTCTTTCGGAATCATGATCCATTAGCACAGGTGCCCCTCAGTTCTGTCTGAGCTCTCCAGTTCTGTTCACACTTTATACAAATGATTGTACAAGCAGTAGTCAAAGCAACTTCATCTTCAAATTCTCAGAAAATTGGCTCAATGCACAGAGGAAGCAGCTCATCTGTATAGGTCAGAACCCCATAGGTTTGTGCAATGGTGTGACAACAATAGCCTAATTCTGAATGTTAAAAAAAAACAACAAAATAAATAGTTTTTGATCCCACAGCAGTTGGTGATCAGTTAGATTTAGTAATCCACAATGAACAATGAATCACTTAGGCTGATTCATGTAAGTATTTTTGTGTACACAAAGGCAGTAATCTATGCTTTACTACTTATGTGGAGAGTGTTTGCTCCAAATTCAGCAGCACTTATATTTCTTGCAAAGACTAAGAGTGTTTGGGGTTTGACAGGAAGTAATGCTACTCTTTTACTATGCTGTAATCGAGAGCATTATCAGATATGGTATAACAGTGTGGTTTGGTAATCTATCAGTTCATTTAAAATCACAAATTACCTGTCTCATCCAAACAACTTTGAAACTTTGAAAGTCATAGGAGTGACATCCCTCCCTGCAGACAATCTTCGAAAAATCTATAATCACACAGGCAGAAAAAAATATGAGATCCTTCCCACATCCTATATTCTGAATATCAACTTATTCTATCAGGGAAATGTTTTATGGTTCCCAAATGTAAGTCAACAGACACAAACACAAACATTACTATAGTTTCGTACTTTAGAGGAACGGTCTCTGGCCACAGCTGGGGGGAAAGCTCTGTACAGGCTGTGCACTGATCTCATCAGTCGTCTCTCCCCGACACTCACTGGAAACTTGTGTGGGGGGATACAGCCTGCCTGGGAAAGCCTGTACAGATTTCTCGCTGTGACAAAGCGGATAAAAATCACTAGAGGCCCCCAAAATACCAGCAATTACAGCCCTCTATCATCTTAACATGTACAGTATGCTCCTCTACAAACACATTAACACCAAAAACAAACACAGAACAGCGGCAGCAACAACAAGTTAAATAACATACATCTTAGAAAATAAATCTGTGTGAGCCAGTGGTAGGGGTAGAGTTCAGTAATCTGACAGTTTGTGGGAAGATACTGTCTCTGAATCTTGACATACTTTCCTTTATGCTCCTATAACACTTACCAGAGGGAAGAGGGAGAAAAGTGAGAAACCAGGATGACTGGTATCCTTAGCGACACTTCCAGCCTCTTCCAAAACCCCGCACTCCCAAAAACCCACACATTGTCCCACCTCACTAAAAAAGCTGATAACCCACAGTGGGGAGTCTTGTGCGCTACCATTGTTGTCAAATAGTTTGTGTCTGTTTTAGATCCAGCAGAGTCTGTCTGTCCCTTCTGTAGCTCTGTGTGAATTTATGTACAGTAGTTTTAATAGGTATTTTTTGTTGTTTTGGTACAGTTTATGACTATAATGTTAACGTAAATGTGTTCAGGTGAAATGCAATTATATTAAGATAAGATCACTTTATTGGCCATAAAGCTTGGGGTTTGAGCGCAGGGTAAACCATTTATAGGGCACCCCTGGAGCAGCTGGGGTTAAGGGCCTTGCTCAAGGGCTTAACAGAGTAGGATTCCTCTGCCAGGCACGGGATAAGAACTGGCAACCTTCCAGCCACAGACACAGAGCCACCGCACTGCCCCATATATTGCAATTCAACTGGGTTAAAAAAACATGTACTGTGCTCATTGAACTGGAGGGGGTCCGAGGCTACATGTCCTGAGAGAAAAAAAAAGCTGGTGAGTGAGTATTAGGACAGCACTGTGGAGAGAGCCGGAGTGTACAGATTGGCTAGTGTGTGCGGAGGGGTTGAGTTTAAAATAACAACTGTAGGAAAAGAGGATAGATTATCGGGAAAAGAGAGAAACAGAAGGGACTGGATTGGGATTGGAAAAACGCCTGTAGACGATATGCAGGGCATCCAGATTCATTCTCAAAGAAACCACTCGGGATCTGAGGAGCGCAGTGAAGAAGCAGCAAGTTTCTCAATCGTCAGAGGCTGTAAGTGAACCTGATGATTTATAGCTGAGAACAGTGGACACAGGATACAGATTATTCTCATCGGACCGTTTGATTCTTTTTACCATCCAGTATTAACAAAACACTTTTTGGGATAAAAGGTTTGTGAAATTACTCAATTTGGGGAATTTACTGTATCATGGTCTTTTAACCAATGTGCGATTTTTTTGGTTTAAGAGGCTCAGTACATTCCTTTAAGCCATGTCACCTTGCAACTTACAATTGGCAACCCACTGAAGCTAAGCAGGTGTGAGCCTGGTCAGTACCTGGATGAGAGACCTCCTGGGAAAAACTAAGGTCCCTGCTGGAAGAAGTGTTAGTGAGGCAAGCAGGGGGCGCTCAGCCTGCAGTCCATGTGGGTCTTAATGCCCCAGTATAGGGGTGGGGACGCTATACTGTAAACAAGCACCGGATGAGATGTAAAACCGAGGTCCTGACTCTCTGTGGTCATTAAAAATCCCAGGGTGCTTCTCGAAAAGAGTAGGGGTGTAACCCCGGTGTCCTGGCCAAATTTCCCATGCCTCCTAATAATCCCCCTCTATGAATTGGCTACATAACTTTGTTCTCCTTCCCCCCCCCACTCCGATGGCAGGCGGAGCAACGTGCCGGTTGGAATATTCTCGGTTGCATTTAATGGCAACGTCGGCTCAAAGATTTGGTTCAAATCACCAAATGGAGAGGGTGTGCCAACAAGCGGACCCTGCTGATGCAGGATTAACACTAGGATGAGAGAGTACATTCCTTTATAGTGAATATCGTTTTTTTTTTGGTTTCTCTAACGGTTATACAGTATATGTTGTTGTGTTTCAGAAATTTCACAATGCAGCATGGTCTGTATGTGTTTTTGAATTTTAATTTACAGAAAGTAAGGAGGATATTTGCTCATTGTAATATACTGGGCACACAAGCCTTGTGAAGTCACCTTGTGATCACTGGCAGAATTACGGTTGAAATTCCTTAAAACCCTAATATAGTCACAAATTGATAGCTGTTTCTGGTGGAGGCACAGCCAAATTAAGCTTCATTTTTTGTATAATTGACTGAAGTGGGCCACAACTTCAGCCTCATTAAGAACCTAGGTCATCCCTTGTATTATATACTGTATGAATTTAATGTTATACTGTACCTCTAGTTGTGGTAACACTTCTGTGCTGAGAGTCAGGTACACTTTCACTGCTATAGCACCTGCTCCTGTCTGACTGTTTAGTCTCTTCTCTAACCTTAGTCTG